ATGGTGGTCCTTACAAGTCTGGACCACTTGCTGAACCATCCATAAGCGAAAATTGTGCTATCTGGATTGTTTGAGAGGCGACCTTTGATACTATGAATCACTCTTAACATATCTACATTCTTAAAATTGTTTCCAACACTTTTTTGGAAACACTTTTTTGTTGTTATCTTATCTAACCAATTTGCATTCTTATGTTAAAACCCTTAAATTTCCATGTCAATCATTCTGTTTAATCTTGTTATAATGCTTGTACCATCTCCGGTGTGTATACTTGAATTCTTCATGTAAATCACTCCCATTTCTTAACATATATAATCTCGGTCCCAAATCGGGGCGAAAGGTTTTTTCGGCTTCCCTCTTCGAAGGTTATCGACTTCTTCTTCTGCTTATTCTTCGCTTCTACGGACATTGGCGGATTTTTATCAATCTCTTCTCACAATAAAGGTTAATATCCCTCACTGTTGCGTATTCACAAAACAAATCGACCTTCGGACAAACACTTTCGCACTAAGCGCTTCATTTGGATAGATTTAATTGGAGTTTGATTACCTAACCAGTGAGCTCGGCAAATAAATTATCTGGCAGTCTTTAATATTTCACGACAATATTCTTCACTTCAGGATATTTATTTATGGCTTTCCTTGTTCCATTTGCTGATAATATAATGTTATCCATATATAAATTCTTCCTAATCTAAAGCGCTGTCTGGCTTCCGATCGTTTCTAGATGATGACTGAATGTTGCTGCTAGCAAAAACGGTGATGATATTACTCCAAAAGGAACTCTTCGAAAACGATAATATTTCATGTTTTCCTCGGTAACCGCAAATTTAATATCATTTACCCAGAGAAATCTGGCGCAGTTCCTGTCGGACTGATGCAGTTACGATTGTAAAAATGTCTTCTCGACATCGGCTATGATTACATTCTTCATCATTCGAGAGCGCAATAGTATTCCTACTAAATCTAGAAGCATGATAGGTCCGCGATATAGGATTTCGTTTAAACTTTTTGTTCCTTTGAGATACGCCGAAGCATCATGGATCATCTCGAGTTTTGTTATAGGTTTGTGTGGGCATATTACTTCATAATGAAGTAAATAGAGAATTATACCCTCTTGATCCACATCAGGATGAACTTCCTCAATTATGCCTGACCACAGTTGATTCTGAATCGTTTCATTGTACCCCAAAGTATGTCTTCATTGTTCTGAAGTCTCCCGATCAAGGTTTTAAGGCATCCGAAGCATAGTCCATAATGGCTTTTTAGTTTGTCCTTTAAGTCTTTCCAAGGCCACCGAACTTGGTATCTCCCGTTTTGTTTCGTTATACGAAATTGCTCAAGGAATTGAAGAAAAAATTACTTTTCTTAAATTATTCAAGGGCTTGCTCATCATCGTTTTGATTCGGCTGGTCTTGGTTACCCATCAGTTTTAAGTTCCAAAACTGGTCGATGTCATCGTGGCTCGTTACGCTAATCATGCTTTGCGAATGTTATTTATATAACCATTTCCGGTTAGCATTGGTTGCAGTTTTGTCCTGAGTAACAGGAATCCTGATTCCAATTCTTGTGCCCCATTTAGTTTGGTGAACCTGAAGAAGTCTTTGACGCCAATAAGTATTTCGAGCTACTTCCAGTAACCGTCTATCCCTTCTGAATTTTTTCTTCCCATTATAGAACTGAGATTTTTGTCGTCGACTGTGACCACTTCCAGTTTGTTTGTAAGTTACTCCATTATGTTAACTTCGCGGGTTATGATTTCCGTCTTTCTGATTCCTACACCAACCTCTGCTTTGGTTGAATTGCATTTCTTCGGTAATTTATTGCCGAATGAAGCAATACTTAATCTCTCGTCTGCCGCCACTCGAATGTGTAGCCTTTTTGCTAAATTAGTTGATATGAATGACAGCTGCAGGCCCAAATCAAATAGTGCCAACGCTCTCGTTTGGAATTTCGGAATATTTGGGTTTGTGACGCTAATTTTTCCACACAGAAGTAAAATCCTTTTACCTTCTGGCCGTATTTGCTCAGCTACTGTGCTGTTCGTTACCGTTGGCTCCAACTCTTCTCACGGTTTTTCTGGTCTAGTATCTTTGCGGTGGTTGGTGCATAGCGCTGAATATATCTTCCTTTGCAATGAAAGCATAATTTCTTTAATTTTCGGCAATCCTTTGCTATGTGGCCCTTTTGTAAGCAATTCAGACACGTCCCGATTGTTTTCAAGCGCTCCAACCGGTGATTTGCTGTTCGGTATACTTGACATTTGTTTTCCCAATGATCCTCTTTGCAAAATAAACAAGGTCTTCGTATTTTATTACTTTCAGGGTATTTTCTTGAGTTTGTGATCCTTTTACTATCGTTTAGTTTGGGCTGCCTGATGGCGGCCAAAGCAGACGTCTCTCCTCTGGCACTGCGTGGGTTGTGACTCGACTTCGACTCGATTGATTTTCGTTGGTATCCACTACTAGAGGCCTGACTTCTCTGTATTTTCTCATTTCTTTGGACTAGTTCTTGCAGGAATTTTCGGAATCTAACGACCGACCAGAATTCCTGGTACTTTTTTTGTTGGTAGACTTTGTCCAATATCCAAACTGGCAATCTACTTTCGATAATAATTTCAATGCTTGAATGCTCCAAACACTCACCCATTGCTTCAAAGTTGTCAAAGTATTCTTTCCATAGTTTCGATAGTTGTTTTCTACTCTCATTGTACAACTTCTTTATGGTACATGAGTTTCCAAACTTCTCGACCAAAACTTTTCTTATGACGTCGTAGTCTCCTGGCG